GGACCTCAAGATAATCATGCTAAGTGAAATAAGCCAGACAGGAAAAGCCGAAAACCACATGATATCACTTACATGTGGGATATAAACATAAAAGCAACAAATAAATAGGACAAACAAACAGACTCATGGACATGGACAACAGACTAGTGGTTACCAGAGGGTAGTGGGGAGGGAGAGGTAGACAGGGTAAAGGGAGTCAAATATTTGGTGACAGAAAGAGGTAAAGCACAGTGCAAATATATATACATGCCTTACTGTTAAAAAAAAAAAAAAAAAAGAAAAAAAAAAGAAAAAAAGAAACATATCTCAGAATTGAGGACCAGAGCTTTTATTACCCATGTTCTCATTCATTCAGGTCTGAATGTCACGGCCAGGTGCACAATACATCTTAATTCTAGAATTACGCTCAATTCATATCCTAATTGGCTACTGGCCTATTTAACCATTTAAAATATAAGAAATCCTAAAATGTGTCTAAAAATTAAGAACCAACATTTAAGTTTCATCTGTACTAACTTTCCAACAGATGGGCCATATTTGAGCAAACTAGTGTGAAGGACCTGAGATTTTACGACTTACAAGCTAACAAAGTAGCTTATCATAGATGCTGGTAGAAAACAGGAGACTGGGAGGTCTCAAAGGGCAGTTTATTACTTACAATAATAACATAAGCCAAAGCACCAACTATTTTGCTGGCAAAGTGAAGAGAGCCAGTTGACACCTGCACAGGTAATGGGTTGTATTACAGGAGAGGAAACCTAAGCTTAGAGAATCTTAACCTTTTATGATGAGCAATAAGCATGCCTGCCTTTTACTCCAGGAGGCATTTATCTTTACTAACCTGGACCATACGTATGCCCACTCTGTGTTCTGATGGAAGACACTATATCTTCTAGGGCTGTTTCTTATAAAAACATCCTTTAAAAATAGAAGCAAAGGGCAGACAGTCTGCTGGCCATACCTGCAGATACTGAGACCAACGGAAAACTGTTTTCTTCAACTAGATACTGTTCCTAATATGTAATTAAAAGAATAGTCTAACACTGTTATCTAGTTAAATCATTAATTTCATATTCCCATTTGAAGAGGAAATTTGAGGGATTCTCATTAAAAACTAATCAGCCTTTTGTTCTGCTTCTGTAAATATGCTTGCTGCATGCAAGAGCTCACTTGCACTTTGTCCTACTTGTCTAAATGAATGTAACTGTTTGTACCCCTAGCAGCTCCTGCCCCTTGTAGCACTTTGTATCTTAGCACTCCAGCTTCCTGTAACAATCTGTAACCATCTGTACTCCCCTCTCTACCAATGTTACTGTTTGCAACCATAGCAACTCCCCCTCTTTGTAAGGGGCTGAGTTCAAACTGACCGATGAGCTTGTGTAAAATCCCTGTATATAAGGAATGTTGCAACTGAGCTTGAGGGTCCTGACCTTCAGAGCACTAGCTCCTCTGTGACCACAGGTAATAAACCTGAGTTCTCCTTCTCTCCGAGTTACTGCTTGGTTTTTCTGCTTTGTTTTTTGCTGGTCTGATTTTGGAGCTTTTCCATAACACCTTGACCTAGCCCAATTATTTAATTAACATTTTATCTCAAATCAACTACTTCTTCTAAAAAGTCAATAAATATTAAAAGTGAATTACTCCCCTTTTCCAATTACTTTGTAATTTTTAGAGGCGCTCAAGTATTTGCAATATTAAAATTTAAAAACCTCAAGTATTCTACTAGAAATAATTGCTGTGCTTACTTTGACTAACTTTAAACGTATCAAACCTGTTAACGTTAGCAGTGGGAACTACCTGTCAAAAGTCTTTTTGTACAGTAACAAACACCACAAAGAGAACAGCAACTTCAACATTCCCAGCTGCTGTCTACAAAATACAAGAAAGTCTGCACCCCAAAACACTTTTTTCTATTTCTCTTTACTCCTTCCCGTCTGAAAAATAACATCTTCTAAAGAGAAAGAACAAAACACCGTCTCTTGGTTCCTTTGTCCACAGCAGAGGGGAAGAATTGGGTTCTCATTAAGGTAGAGAACCCGAAATATGCAAGATAGAAAATAGACAGCACCTGATCTGTAATCAATCACCAAAGAAAGTCACCATCACTTCATCTTCATCCCTCTTTCTCCCCTCCAACTCAAAAAACGTGTGTTATATACGAGATGATTAGGATCATACGCACCTGGACAAAGCTTTGCGGGAGGCAGAGGGTTGCCGTTAACTAGCTGCAGTTGGCAAAGAACCCGAGATAACTCACTACAGCCGACTTCGACAGAGGTTTTCAAAAGTGTGGGTCGCACAGGCCACCCAACCT